AAAGAGGATGAATCTAAATGGAAAGAAGTAAGAATAAACTTATCATATGAATTAATTGTACACTGATTGAACTTGGATTAACTTTGTCTTTTTAGGTTTTACAAAATGTCATCTATTTCATTGTACTTTCGCCTTATGATAACGAACAACATGATCTATTGCATCGTATATATGAAGATCCAAATCTCATTAAGCTTTCTTTGCACTAGTAATATATTTATTTAATTAATATAAAAAAAAAATTCTCAATCCATATGATTTTGTGGTTTTAACTTATTATTATTTCATTATCAGCGAACTTGCTAAACATTTTATAACTCCTGAATTGATGCGATGGCCCCGTATTCAAGAATTATACGGAACTGCATTAAGACAAACTCCTGTCTTTGCACTGGGTGATGAAGCTGGTGAAAAGCGTTGGCAAGAATTACATAAACGTGTGATCGAGCATGTTAGTATTATGTTTACTATTATAGCATATCGGATAATCACAATCTTAATGTGGTATTTGATTTTAGAATATTCGTGTGGTTGCCAAATATTACACACGTATCAAGACAAAAAGGTTGACACAATTGCTAGATCTTAACGAAGAGGTAATTATGGTTTCGTTTATCTTATTAAGAATCTTACAAATTGTTATAGCTTACACTGTTTTTACAGGATACTGAAGAATTTCTTTCAAAGCTCGTTGTTTCAAAGACTATTTATGCCAAAATTGACCGGCCTGCAGGAATAGTTTCTTTTGCTTCTCCCAAAGATGCAAACCAAGTGCTTAACGACTGGTCAAATAATATTAATTCATTGTTAGCTTTAATCGAAAAGACATGCCATTTAATTACAAAAGAAGAAATGTTACATAGCATTGCTAGAGTGAAGTAATATTGTTTTATTTATATAGACATTAGATAAACATTAAATAAACAACTTTTTTTTTATACAGTTGATTATTATAATTATTCTCTAAATAATTTTAAACGTAATTATGGAAGTTTTTCAACCAAATATATGTCGATAAAAGTTATAAATTTTCGTAAAGTAAAATTTACCGTTGCTTGAGATTTACAACCAATTTGATACTAATTAGACCATGCAAAATTAGACGGTAAATTTATTATGAAGAGAAAAATACTAATAATTCGCGATCTACCAAACCGATTTTCATCAGAACCGGAATAACTTGCCTACAATATTTGTTAGAAATTCAGGGAAGTTTATTTAGCACAAAAAAAATATATATTGTGAGATAGCTACATTCCAGCACTAACATTCGACAATTTCTATTATTAATTAAATATTTAGTCATTTAACTGTTTAACCGTTTAACTATTTAATTTAGCCGGCATTAACATAATTCTGGTCCGTGACCAACATAATTCGGCCAAAGCTATAGAATAATCTTTAAGTTCTCGCCCTTAAAAGAAAAAAAAAAAAAGGATTGCAATGTTACAAAAATCAAGAAATTAGTAACTTCGTATGACCTTATTTTATATATTACGAAAACTAAAGAATTAGGTACGTAGCATATTTTTTCTCCACACTTTATATGTATGATATATTTAAAATTTTTTTATTTTCGAATTATGATTTTTGAATTATATATTCTAGCGATACTTAATATTATTAATTCATTATTGTTACACTGCATGGTATAAAAAAATTTTTAAAAGCTTAAGCTTACGTATAGTTTTTTGATTTTTCAGGTTTTCTATTGTTCAGTAAAACGAAATATATTCCGCAAACCTAGCAACAACATAAGTAAGTTGCTCTGGTAGACAAAAAACTGCGGTATATGCAAAAAGTCCTAGTCCCACAAGGACAAGTGAGTCTATATAATAAAAAAGCGAGCAAAATGTTAATAAGGCCTGTCATTTTAGGAATTTCATAACAATCCTGAAAGCTTAACTGAATAGTGCTTTTTCCCATGGTTCAAGCATATATAAAGAAGTAGTGACCTCATATTGATAATTTCTGAGTATTAGATATTCGCGAGCTCGAGAAAGCATTTTTTTATATGTAAGGCTGAGCAAGTAGCGGTAGTAATGGATAATCAAATGACAATCTCTTAAAGCTAATTACTGTTACACGAATTTTGTTGCTGGTAACGGCAATATTTAATTAGTGGAACAACAATTCAGCAAATCGACCAAAATTTAGGCCGGAATTGATAAATTTTTCTCGAAATTTTATTAATGAAGTGGTAGTCCACGTTAAAAAAAACTAATTGACTTGTATTATTTTTTAATGTCGGCCTAATTCCAGGCTATTCCGACCCTAAATTTTGGTCGATCTGCTGAATTTTGGTTGCTCCACTCAGTGTTTAAAATTCAGATCGAAATCTACTTGCACAAATGCATAGGTTTTAATTGCACAAACCAACTACTAGTTGCACACATGTGCATATAAATTTTATTTTTATCTGCACATCTGAGTAATGCCAATGTTATAAAATTACTATACCAAATATATCTGAAATTTTTTGTTTAATTTTCAGAATATTTCAGATCTTTTCTCTAAATTTAAACTAAACTCTGCTCGTATTTTTACGTTCATGTATGTTCCTTTCAAAACTTTTCGAATTATCATTATCTATCTAAAGTATAGTACTATAAATAGCTAATTATTACAATTATATTTATTACACATATTTTTACAAAAATTTTTTAAAACTTTAATTGTAATAATAGTTATTACATGTAATAATATTCTTACATGTAATAAGTATTCTTACATGTAATAAGTATTCTTACATGTAATAAGTATTCGTACATGTAATAAGTATTTTTACATGTAATAAGTATTCTTACATGTAATAAGTATTCTTACATGTAATAAGTACTTTTACATGTAATAAGTATTCTTACATGTAATAAGTATTTTTACATGTAATAAGTATTCGTACATGTAATAAATATTCTTACATGTAATAAGTATTCTTACATATATAAGTATTCTTACATGTATAAGTATTCTTACATGTAATAAGTATTCTTACATGTAATAAGTATTCTTACATGTAATAATATTCTTACATGTAATAAGTATTCTTACATGTAATAAGTATTCTTACATGTAATAAGTATTCTTACATATCGAAATTGTAATAATTCATTGTATTATAATAAAATTATTAAAATACAATTTCGACATGACATAATACTTTTGGCACCAATCTGTAACTCTGGGTTATTTGAAAATGACTTATAACCAAATAACTCAGGTCATTTGAAATTATTTGTGATCAATGGGTTATTTCAAGTTATGTATAATCGGATGCTACAACTAGAGACCTGACCTGGGTCAGATATTGACCCTGATCAACAGGTTATATAGAAGCCTATAAAATTTAATAATCTTATTTATCCACGTTGTCCATCGACATTATGCATTTAAATAAGCTATTCGGGTTATGGGTGTTATTATTTAATTTTATATATTTTACAGCACTTAGTAAGTATAAAAAATATTTTATTAATCTAGGTCTGAAATAAGTTATTCAAGCTAAGATATTTACTATTTTTTATAGAACTTAGTAGTATAAAAAACATTTATTAATCTAAGATCTAAAATAAGTTATTCGCAAGCATTTACTGTTTGATTTTTACTAAGGTACGTTCAATGATCCAAGTATTGAAAATAAGCTATTCATAAATAATGACTATTTAATTCACCTTATTCGCATTGTGAGTAAAAGAATTTTATTAGTTTAAATATTTAGAATTAGAATAAGCTATTTGAATCATGAATATCACTATTTAATTTTATTTATTTTACAGCACTTAGTGAGTATAAAAAACATTTTATTAATCCATATATTTAAAATAATTTATTTACGAGTATTTAATATTTAATTTCATTTCAGTCTGCAACTATGAAAAATATAAGTTATTTATGAATATTGATTATTTAATTCATTTAAATAAGTTATTCGAGGTATAAATATTTACTATTTAATTTATTTACTTTACAGCACTTAAGGCGTTTCGCTCTTTTTTATTTAGTTAGATAGGTGATTTTCATAATTTTTTGAGTCCCGCAAGCCCTGTGATTACAATATAGTAGTCACTTTACTTCATCATATTTGGTGAAACTCATTTAAATTATTCATGTATTTCCTTTTTATCGATAAATAAGTTTCATAAAATATGACAGACATAAGGTGGCAATCTATGTTGTATTCGCGGACTGATCCAAATAAATTGAAAAGAGCAATAATCTAAGTATTAAAATAACCTATTCAAGAATATTTATTAATTTATGTTAATTAATGACTATTTAACTATTTTATTTGCATCCGGTTAGTTGGGAAGCATAAAAATTATTTACATAGTTGATGTATAACTAGAGATGGGCACCAAGAGCATCATGCCATGCATGCCTGCAATAATGCATGCGCATGATGCGCACTTAAGTGCTT